TGCACAAAATGTGTTTCGAGTATACCGGTACCGTACTTCACCCAATGGACCCTGACAAAATTGAATGCGAGACTACAAACCACCAAGATCGAATGAAGAAGGAACTCACAGACGGTTTAGAAGTAGTGGCTAGTTGGAAAATAGCACTTGAAATATGCGGATCAACACTTCTGGACTACTGTGATATTGGACCCAATGTGTAAAAACGCACAAACACAAGTTGGAAAATCCCTTTTGAATTCTAAACTGCCTAAAATAAACATTTTGATCTTGTTCTCCCAACAACAAATGCAAATTTTTAGCTTACAGGTGACTTCTAAAATAATCGGTGGTGGACAGTCTGAATATGTATTCAGAAATTTATATCTGTAATGAGTCTGTCCAAATGTTCAGGCAAAACATGTTCGGAACTACCCAAAGTCACTAGTTTTGTTCTGATGACATTATCCACTTTGCTGTGCACACGCACTAGTGCCTATGACAACAGGATTTTGAGTACTCTGGTTAAGACAAACGACTCATTAAAGTGACCCAATCTAACTAAATGAGTCCTCGGTCACCAGAGCCACTTTGGCATTAAAGGCAATCAACAAGAAGAAAGAACCTTCAACAGTTTTCATCCACATAAGGAAGATTTCCACCAGGATGTCAAACCGAGTGAAGCATCAAAATAAAAAAGCACAGTCTGTCCGTCCTTAATGCTAACTGACACAAACTTACTGAAAATGGCACTGAGACTCGTTTTATGAGATCTAGTCACATACCAGGCACTAGATGATAGAGTACAGAATCGTGATGCCATTTTGAACTAGGAAGTGTCTAGTGCAAATGAATGGAATGTGCGCGTATGTTGGTTCACGCACAACTTCTCACACTAATGGCTTTTGCGTCATTGTGCGTGTACAGTAGTACTCAATGTACTTGGAACATTTAGACTAAACCACTCTAACTACTGGACCAAAACTGGGAACTTTCTACTGTGGGGATACAAGAGGAAGATGTACATGATAGATCCTGGATCTGGGAGGAGGGAATTTGGCATTACATGTAACATGCAGATGTATGTACAGGTGTATATCGTCACAGTTTTCACAAAGAGACAATTTTCTCATCGGATTGCAAAACATAGGTTTTGAGAAAATCGCATTTGAAGTTGGTCCCTTTTTCAAATGCTTAATTTCGTACACTTTAGTGTTCCTTTAAATTCACCAATGCTACTCCATGAAAGAGGGGATGTTACATAACACAAAACTACAAAACTAACATTTCTAGAAGTTAATTTAAGTTGTTTATTTTGTAAACAAACAAGATTGTCAGTGCATGAAATGCTAAAATTTGTGTGACTTTCAGTCTCTTTGTGAAAACGGCACAGACAATACACGCTTTTGACATAGCACGTGTCAGGAGCAACATTGTTACATTTGTATATACATGTACAAGTATTTCTGGAGTCAAATTGTTTCTTTGTGAGAACTACAAAACCAGTTTTGCCCACGGCTTTGATCTTTTTGCCAACGTTATATCTAGGGAAGGCAAAATTGTCTCTTCATGAAAACCAAAAATGCAGTTTAAATATTACACCGAAGAGATCATCGTCATTTGGGTGATTTCAGTAGATTTGGTAAAAAATGATTACATCAAGTTGTAAGCACTGCATAGCCTTGTTGATTTGGCCAAAAACAGAAACCGGAAAAAAACTATGATTTGGGGGTTGAATTGTCTCTACGTGAAAACTGTGACGATAAGCTACAGTTAATTTTCCATGCATATGCGTTTCACATAGGTGCAACCCCCCCCTTTAAAAAAACATGGCAGGAGTTTCAAGAGTTCTGTTTCACTTTCTCAGCTTGTCCATCCCCCCATTTATCTGGATTTCATTTCATTGGTTCAGTGTCAGTGGTTGATTTTCACCTTGCCATTCCAGTAAATAAATTCTATTGTCTCTTCCCGTCTGAAAAAAACTGGAATTGGTGTCTAGGTCACTGTTGAGTCGAGTTTCTCACGACTCTTCTCTCCATCCACGTTCAGACTGTTAGTTTAGTTAGAGTTTGGTGTAGAATGTCAAATCTAGTGTTGTAGTCGAGACCACTTAAGACCTTCACAAGACCACACAAGACTTCTAGTCTGAATTCAAGCCACAAGACCATAAAAATGAACTGCAACAAAAGCATTCCTTTGTCATTGTTCACCCTGTTACTTGTGACTGGTCTTNTGGAGTATGGACTGCTTTACCTTTGGACCACCATGTGCTCCATGCTATGCTTTCATTCTCTACATGAAAATATTACAAGATTCTGGATAGTCGCGTTCAAAATTGTTGTTTGACTCTAACAACTCACCTTACCATCGTTAAATTTTTTTTTTTAATTAAGTTTTCTTTTTCCCTGGAAGACTTTCAAATCAGTATTCCATGGAAGAAAAGGCCAACCCTTGTCTAAGCTTGTTCCTTGCTGTATCAACAATGTTGACGACAACGTAGCCATCATCCAGTCAAGTAAAATATGACGTCTTTGTGTCTATTAGACACACCCCTTCTATTTTTAGATGCAGTACATGTAGGTGCATGAAATTTTAACAGTCAGCGTAAGCACAGTTGTAGTCGAGACCACTTAAGACCTTCACAAGACCACACAAGACCAACACAAGGCCTCCACTCTGAATTCAAGTCAAAAGCTATCCAAATGAACTGCAACAAAAGCATTCCTTTGTCATTGTTCACACTGTTGCTTGTGACAGGTCTTGTGTCTGGTCTAGTGCATGGTCTTGTGTCTGGTCTTGTGTGTGGTCTTGTGTCTGGTCTTTTGTCTGGTCTTGTGTCTGGTCTTGTGCATGGTCTTGTGTCTGGTCTTGTGTACTGGTCTTGTGACTGGTCTTGTGTCTGGTCTTGTGTCTGGTCTTGTGCTGGTCTTGTGCATGGTTTTATGTCTGGTCTTTTGCATGGTCTTGTGCATGGTTTTATGTCTGGTCTGGTGATGGTCTCAACTACAACACTGGTGAATCCCCCATGGTATGTCAATTTGTACATGTTACATACATGTAGATGTAGATGTAGCTACACATGTCAGCATCACACACTGAAAGGCAAGACTACTAGGTACACGAAGACCTGTCTATCACAGAATCACCACATCACTGGGGTAACTTGACATGGAAACCTACCTGACAGGTCAGCTGATGATCCAAGAAACAAAATCCGAAAAGGAGTTTCAATAAAGAATGACTCAAATACGCAACACGTGTAATGTTCTTACTAAAACTGCATACATGTACATCGGCATACCCATGGATCGGGGAATACCGGTACGTAGCAAGTTGGACAAGTTAGATTTTCCTTCATATCAGGGTTACTAACTACAACTTTTCATGTATCAAAGACAATGGAAATGATCAAAGCACTCATACATGTGAGCTCCGAGTTCAAAATTTCAATAAATGTTGCTTGTTTAATCATCAGCATGTACTATGCATTAAAGTAAGACAGATCTCTCTAAAATGGAAAAAAAGAAATCTTTCGAAAATTTTTAATCCTTTGGCACAATACCCTTAATATAATTTACATAATTTGCAAATAATGTGAAAAATAAACTTTGAAGACCTCAAGTCATGTCAGTTTTGGAATACGTTGGTCATTCAAATTATCATTGATCAGTTTGGTTAGAGGTAGCAAACTCCAATCTGTCAGTGCAAGGAAGCTGTGGTATATTTGGTGATACCTTTCTTTAAGGAATAAGGTATTTTGCCTCAACAGAGGGCGCTGTTTTCATTCCACAGTCTTGTATAAGCACAGAGGTACACCATCCATTCTTGGGCAACTTTGAGTGACATCAATCTGAAGACCATTGGTCGATATTGCCGAGTACCAAGGATCTACTTTGTCATCGTTCAAAAACTTGCCCACTGCATCCAACCAATCCAGTGCGTACACACCAATTGCAAATGCTAAGTCACCTGACCTACGAGTATAGTGGATATCAAACGTCAACAAACACAGCATCCTCTATAAGCAATGTGTGTCATAGGTGTTGTTTAGCGACTATAAAGCCGACAGTCGGTGAAGTACTCAGACTACTGATGTGCAGAGTATCATACCGAAAATAGGCATTATTTTT